ATGAAAATCAATCTTGGCTTCCAGGCCATACAAAACAAACAGTGGGTCATAGTTTGCCAATTCTAGAAACAGAATTGCTGTGCGTTTCAACTCAACACAGCTTAATATAATTGTATGAAGTTTGTCAGTGATTTTAGAAGTGCGTAGATTATTAGATTAGGTTTATTGGAAGCAAATTCACCAATTCTATTCTATAAAGCTCTGGTGTAAGAAACATAATTTTGGATACTTCTCAAATGTTGCAAATTTGGAACAAAAATTTTGTGAAATTAAGAGATATGAAATACCAAAGGCCAGATTTTTCCTTATCTCAGATTAAAGAGTATAAATTCTCTTTCAACGTTTAAGATGGTTGCAGGTGAATTATATAGAATTGGATTTATTCTTTGTGGCCTCCAATAGGTGAATGCTGCAAAGCGAGATGGGAATGTGCTTTGAGGGAGACAGTTAAGCGTAAGTTGGAGGAATCCTTAGTGAAGAGGTACCAGCCATTTAAGATTTCTATGGGTGGTGGAACTAATATTTAAGGGTCCCTAGTAAAGGGTATGCTTCTATGACTTGGAAAACAATTTAAAGAACTTATTATTTTGGTTACCTAGATAAAAAGCTAAAGATGGCTCAAATGTTGGGGGTTGGTTAATTATTCTTAAATAATCCAAAGGTGAATTATTTAAGAATAAAGTTGCTGAGAGAATGATGTATGTGAATAGTTTCTACCTTTTAAGGAGGAAGGAGTTAATTCAAACTAGTCTTGTGTAGCCAAAGCCTCCAGGCAAGACTACATCAAAACTTATATGATGTAATAAACGATGGAAAATGAGTCAATAATCCAGGAGTCATTGCTTTGGCATTGCCAGATCACATAACTTGTTGGATTCACTTGTGTAATTTAGCACCTGGGAATACAATTTACCCAATTGCCTTTAAGCCCTGATATGTTAATAAGACCAAAGGGCTGTATAAATTTAAGGTAATAAGACTGGGTGGTTCTCAAACACTTTAGAACTCATAAAATTGAGTTGACACCCTTTCTTCCACTCCACCTCTTTTAGCCTGTTTGTAAATGTTACAGAGCTAGGTATATATCATACTCTGAGAAATAGTTTCTAACGAATATGGAATAATCTGATTTTTTTTTTTTGAGATGACATCTTCCTCTGTCCCCCAGGCTGGAGTGCAGTGGTATAATTTCAGCTCACTGCAACTTCTGCCTCCCCAGGTTCAAGCAATCCTCCAACCTCAACCTCCTGAGTAGCTGAGACTACAGGTATGTGCCACCATGCCTGGCTAATTTTTGTATTTTCAATAGAGATGGGATTTCACCATGTTTGGCCAGGCTGGTCTTGAACTCTTGACCTCAGGTTATCCACCCGCCTTGGCCTCACAAAGTAAATTCTGTTTTTCTAGACTACTTTATCTCTTATGCTCAAAAAGGTGTTGACATTTCAGAAGTACCTCACCAGTTCTTTTTCTAAGCTACACAGAAATGAGAATGAATGCATTTATATCATTTTGGTCATTAGAAATTATTAACATTTAATCTTGGTGGTATCTATTGCCAAATACATCCAACTACTTACATTTAATATGCTGGCCATTTAAACATGCTTGTGCTATTTTAATGGGTAATACACAAGTGAAAATAAAATCTATTAATCTGTTCTGTGATGTCTCTCCTAGCTCAATAAATTCATATGTAGTTTTTCATAATAATGGGTAGAGAGTGAAATTTTGTGAAAGCATTCTTTGGCCCATCAGAATCTAAATACTATAAATTATTGTTGTGTGTAAAACAAAAGTGAACAAATGAGCTATCATAGGAAGTAAGAATTGTAACACAACTTTGGCTTCTATATATGTGGGATGTCTGTTTTGGAAAACAAGAAAACTGAATGTACTCAGGACGCTTTGTTTTTCAATGTTCTCCCCATCTTTTGATATTCTTCAGTACAAACAAGCAGTATCAATAACTCAGAGTCTTGTACCCCTGCTTTGAGGACTACAGACATAAAGGCCCCCATGAGAAAACAGAACACTGAGCAAGCTACCACAGATGCTGTAAGAGAGGTTCAGATAAAGTTCAGTGGCCAACAATATTGAGTGCTTGCTGTGTGTAAGGCACTGTTGTTCCCCCTTAAAGAAATTGAGGATAAGGACAAAAGCATTTAGACAACAGTACAAAGAGTGAGAGTGACATTAAAAATAGTGAAGAAGAGGTATTAAAACTGAAAGCAAAAAAAAAAAGTCTTTTTTTCATGATTCTAAGATAACCTGTTTAAAGATGCAGAGAACCAGAGATAACAGGTAATCTTGGAGTCATTCTTTGGGGATGACTTTTTTAAAGGCAAGAAACCTTTAGTTAATAGCATACACGAGGTTTTATGTAAAATGTTAAGTGTAACCATTTGTACTTAAACAGATCCTTTAATCCACCCCTAGATGTATAATCAGGTATTATTTGACTTTTTTGTATGCAAAATTTAAGTGTTACATATTCAGCCTTTCTACTTCACATAACTGAAATAACCCAAACCAGTTTACACTTCCGAACAGTTTTACATGCCTCCCACCAAGGAAGTTACAGAACAGCTAGTTAGCTTTGTGTTCCCCCTTCTAACAGAAGAGAGCATTATATGAAACAGGTAGAATGGAGTGCTGCAAAGGGAGTGGCTCCTGCAAGCAAGTAGATATTAAAATGCATTTTCAAAAGAGTGGAGTTTGTGCTTGTCAACAAACTACTCGCTGTAATTACTTCCTATTCACTGGGATCGCTGTGCAGCCTGCTGACTCACCAGGCTGCTGGAGTGTGTTTCTGCCGGGTTTCCCTACTGCCTGCTACACATGAGTCATCACAGGAATCAAAGTTTCTATCCGTCTCCCTTAACAACAGTGCAGAAACCAGGCATTGAAGTAAGCTTCCATCTTTCCAGTCAGACCCTAGCCAGGGAAGGGAAAAATGATGTAGTAGGTGTCACCACCAGCCAGGGTGCTAGATGACAGAGCCCCACCCCAGGGTGTTAGTCATCGGCACCCCAGTTTCAGCGTTTCTCTCACCCACCCAAATAATTAAAGTCTCATCCTGTCTTGCAATGCCTGCTGCTGCTGGCCACCGAACACTTCTTTGCTATAGAGGTTCCCCAACTTTGCTGGACAATGAAGTCACTTGTGTTTGTTTTTCCTTTTAAATACTGTGCCTATTTCTCACTTTCAAACAACCTGATTTAAATAGTTTGGGATGTGATCAGGACATCAGGAATTCTCAAAGCTCCCCAAATGATTCCACTATGCAGCAAAGTTTGAGAACCAGTGCTTTGAAGAAGCACAGCTCTACCCACACAAGGAAAATTAACCAGTTAAACTTATCTACCAGTCACTCGGTGAGCTACCAGACGTCCTATCTTACACCTAACTGAGGTCTTTAATCGGTTTGGCAGAAAAGAACAAAAGCAAAGAAGCATTTCATTTCCAGAGGGGACACTGGCTAACCCAGAAGCATTCCCCTCTTTGCTTGATAAAAACTTAGCCAAAAATGTAGCGTTCAAGAGAAGCAGGGGAAATGTTGCTGTTCTTCAGATTACCTTTTGATCTCTGTTCTGTTTCATTCCAGTGTCCTATTCAGCAAAGGTGTAAATCGCAGGTCCTCAGATTATGAGTAGGTGCTGCGTCTGACCACAATCGCGACCGGTCTGCACGCTTCACCCCAGCTGGGACCGAACCTCCGCCTCGCCGCGCGGCCCCAGGGCCGATACTATGCTAATCAAGAAAGTTCTTCCGTTTCGGTGCGCGCGGGCGCGGGTTTGAGCGCTTAACCCTTGATTTTACATTGACAGGACGGTAGTGTTTTTAGTGACCTCCTCCTGCCTAGCGGGTCTACACTATTTCCCTTTTTTTTGTTTTCTTTTTTTGGAAAAGGAGATGTGAGCAAGTGATAGGACACTCAGGGAGGGGACAGCAGTGTTGGCTGGTGCCGAGGTGAAGGGACGGCCAATGTTCGGAATATTAATTACTCCCGGAGCTACTGACCCGGCGAAGACTAGCAGGAGGGGCCTGGGGGTTAAGACAAAGGCTCCTCCTGATCAAATGGCTGCAGCGCCCCTTCCTCCAAGGTTATGGCTCTGCCCTCTGCACTAGAGAGACGAAGTGACTGGAGGAGTGACCAAACCCACTAGGCCTTCTGGGGTCTGAAAGTCAGCTTTGTCGAGCGCCCCAGGTTCAGGGGATGGCTTTCTGCGTCCACCCCTCTCCAGGCTCTTTGTGGGATTTCTGGCTTCGGCACAGCCCTTCTAAGGGTAGACCGAAGAGTTTCCCACTGAGCGGAGTGCGAAGTCGCTGAGTAGCCCTTGCCCTGCGCGCTCTGTGCTACCGGCAGAAGAGCCGCTGGGACGCAGAATAACAACCAGCTTCCTTTTGCGCCCACCCGGCTCCTCAGTCCCGGGAGCGCGGGTGGTGGCTGCCGAAGGAGAAGTGCCGGTGGTCCAGGGGGTGCTCGAAGGCAGGCGAGCGCCAGCGCGCTACACTTCCTGATCTGACCCTAGAGCGCAGCCCTTGCCAGCGTCCCCCGCTCTCAGTCCTGCCGCCCCCATTCGAGCCTGGAGGGCCGTGCGCTGCGGTCGCGCAATCGCGAGCCCCCCTCCACCAAAGCTGTCTTCCTACCCTGGACAGCCCCAGCCTCACCCCTCCAAAGCAGTCCACTTCGCTTCTGCCAGCGTGGCAGCCCCAACTCCCTCCCCTTTCCTGGGGTCTACAGCGCTGGGGCCCCGAACCAGAGGTGTGGCCCGCGGTAGCGCAGCTGGGTGCACACCCGTAGAACGCCGAGCCGACCCCTGCACAACTTCTTGCTAGACTCTGGACCCCCGTTTCCGCTTGCTCCGAGCCCAGCGGGCTGCAGACCTCGGCGTCAGGAGGAGGCGCGGCCAGCTCCCGGCCTGGGAGGGACTGCCCCAGGGCAGGAGGTGTTGGGGTGCGCCAGGGCGGTACCGCTTTAAATGCACTTGACTCACCTGCTCCGGCGCTGTTGCCTCCTTCCTCTGCTGACAGCTGGGGGCTTTGTTTTCTCCACCCACCCGTCCGGCCGCGCTCCGCCCCCTCTGTTGCACGTGACTCGCCGTCTGCCACAGGCACTGCCGCCGCGGCTCCGCGAGTCCACCCGAGAGAGCCCGGCCAGCGCCGCCCCTCCCCGCGGGTGCGGGTGCGGGTGCGGGCGCGGGTGAGGGTGCCGGTGCAGGTGGGCGCCCCGCTAGGCAAGTCCCAACCGACCCGCCTGAAGACGCTGTCTCAGGCCAAAGGAAGCCAGGCTGAATTCGTGGCAGGGAAGAAAGTGGCAGCAGGTGAAATAAACTAAGTGGTTTGACCCCACTCGAGAGGGAGGAGGCGGGTGTGGCTTGCAGAGGGGCTTTGAAAAGGCGCCGCCGCAGCCTGAATTAAGTACCTGAGAACGGGGGCTTGCACACCAACCGGGGTGCATCCGCTTTTACACTAAGTGTTTGTACTCCTACCTGGAGCACGATTGACAATGAGGGGCAAACTAGTTTTGTCATGAATATTATACTAATTAAACTAGGTAAGTGTAATACAATTAACAATAATAGCATGTTTTATTGGGGTTCCAAATCTGTTTGTTGATGCTGCTTCTATTTGGATTCTATTTGGAGAATGGAGTGCAGGCTGGAGAAGCGAACTCCAGAAGTTTACTGATGTGGGCACTTGTCCATTTGGAAGAGCAGCTATTTTTAAGGAAATGAGAAAACGTTCTGGCTTCAAGACCCACTCAGATCTGCTGCTTTTGGAAGTGATCTCGATCCGTGCTGATCGCAGTGATCTCTAGTGTTTGAAACAGCAAGGGCTTGTCTGAATCCTTGCTAGCCCTTGAAGAACCCGTGTATACCTTCCCTCCCGCGCCCTGCAAATTGCTGCTCAGGGGAAAGACTGTTTATGTCTCCCGCAGCATTCATTAAAGCCAGGTCTTCCTAGTGGAGTGATTTAGCACAGCGCTTCCCAGACTTTAAGAACGATCACCTGGAGATATTGTTGAAGCCAAATTTGATTAAGCATATCTGGAGTTGGGCCTGAGATTCTGCATTTCTAGCAAACAACCAAGTAATGCCATTGCTGCTAGTTTGAGGACTGCACTTTCAGTAGAGAGGTGCCAATCACCGCTTTGGCATTAGCTAGCCTATTCTGAGTCCTGACGACACCACTTGCTAGCTGTATGACCTTAGGCAAGTTTCTCAACATTTAAGCCTCACATGCTGTAAAATAAGTATGATACTAATTTTCACCTCACAGTGTTGTCTTGAAGATTGAGAGAGTCCATATAAAGCCCTTAGTGTGATGCCTGGCACACATACCTAGGGTTCAGAAAATGCTAGCTAATTCACTGTAGAGGTGGGTCATCCTTGCAGGGGGAAAGCTGGCACCAAGTGCAGGGTGGCGGCAGGGGGAGCAGTGCGTGAAATGGGCACAAGGGTGAATGTAGCCAGCCCAAGAATGAGGACTGTGCCCTGTAGTGACAGCATGTGCCAGATATGTAGGACAAGTTTGATGAATAACTAAATAACTATAATGTGGAACAGATCATATGCATTCAAAAAGTTCTGCTTCTCCTTTAAATAATGACAAATTAGTTCTGAGACATTAAATTAAAAAATCATTTTGCTTTCTATTACAGATAATGTCCAGCTGCCTGTCACATGGGTAATCTATTTTAATATCTGAGAGAGTAAATGAATTGTTAAGGTTTAGTACATTTTTTATCCTCATTAGAAACCTTGAACTTTAAATTTAAATGGATTTATTAATGAAGATATGGTATTCTTAGCTCTCAAAATGAATGGCTGTTGTCATCGTAGTTCTCCTATCTTCCTTCCTTGCTTCTCCTCCGCTCTCTTTCCTCCAAATATAAGTGTTTCTTCAGAATCATTTCTTGCCTTTTTTTCCCACTCTGCCATTTTCCTTAGACATTTTATGTGTGTCTTATGTTCATCTTTCAAGTGTGTGCAGATTAATTCTGAATCCATACCCACATTCTCAACCCATTTGCAAGCCTTATTTCTGCCTTTCTCTTGCTTGCTAGGCATTTCCATTTCCACTAGCTTTTAAAATTTATTTTTTCCACTTACACTGTATTTTTACTTGTCTAAATGTATGGGGTATTTGAAAGATTTTCACATGTATATGATGCATCATGATCAAGTGAGAGTATTCATGATGTCTATCACCTGAGTATGTATGTATGTGTATATATATATGTGTGTGTGTGTGTAGTCATCTTATTCTCTATCACACATTAAATTTACTCCTGTCTTACTATATTTTTGTACTCTTTAACCCACTTCTCTTCACTCCCCTCCCACTCCACTGACCCTACCCAGTTTGTCTGTATTTTCACTCTCCACTTCCATGTGTTCAGATTTCTTAGCTCTCGCATTTATGTGAGAACATACTAGATCATTTTGTGCCTGGCTTATTTCACTTATGATAATGACCTCCAGTGTCATTCATGTTGTTGCAAATAATACTGTTTCATTCTTTTTCTAATGGATGAATTGTGTTCCATTCTGTAGGTACATTACATTTTATTTTTTCATCTTTTAATTGATACTTATGTTGATTCTATATCTTTGAAATTATGAATAGTGCTGTAAAAACTGGCAGTTCAGGTATCTCTTTGACATATTGATTTCTTTTCCTTTGGATAGATGCCAATAGGGGGATTGCTAGATTAAATGGTAATTATATTTATAGTTTTCTTGAGAAATTGCTATACAGTTTTTTTTTTTTTTTTTTTTTGAGACGGAGTTTCGCTCTTGTTACCCAGGCTGGAGTGCAATGGCGCGACCTCGGCTCACCGCAACCTCTGCCTCCTGGGTTCAGGCAATTCTCCTGCCTCAGCCTCCCGAGTAGCTGGGATTACAGGCACGTGCCACCATGCCCAGCTAATTTTTTGTATTTTTAGTAGAGACGGGGTTTCACCATGTTGACCAGGATGGTCTCGATCTCTCGACCTCGTGATCCACCCGCCTCGGCCTCCCAAAGTGCTGGGATTACAGGCTTGAGCCACCGCGCCCGGCCGCTGTACTGTTTTATATAGTGTCTATACAAGTTTACGTTCCCACTAACAGTGGGAAGATTTCTCTTCTGCACATCTCAGCCAACCTTTTTTTTTTTTTTTTTTTTTGTCTTTTTACTAATAGCCATTCTGACTAGGGTATGATGATATCTCATTGTGGTTTCGATTTGTGTTTCTTTGATTATTAATAATGTTAAACTTTTTTTTCCCATAAACCTGTTGGCTATTTGTAATCTTCTTTTGAGAAAGGTCTACTCATGTCCTTTGCCCACTTTTTGATGGGCTTGTTTTATTTTTCCTGTTGAGTTGTTTGAGTTCCTTATGTAGTTCAGATATTCGCTTAAGTCTCCTCTTAAGCGAATAGTTGGCAAATATTTTCTGTCATTCAACAGGTTGTCTTTTCATTTTGTTATTTCTTTTGCTGTGCAGAAATTTTTTAGCGTAATCACATTTGTCTATTTTTATTTTTGTTGTCTATGTTATTGAGGTCTTAGTTATAAATTCTTTGCCTAGACCAATGTCCAGGAGAGTTTTCTCTAATTTTTTCTGATATTTTTATAGTTTGGGGGTCTTTTTTAATCCATTTTTAGTTCATTTTTGAATATGGTGAGAAATAGGGGATCCAGTTTTACTCTTCTGCATGTGGCTACCCAATTTTGTCAGCACCATTAATTTTAAGAAGATGTCCTTTCCTAGTGTAAGTTCTTGTCAGCTTTGTCAAAGATCAGTAGGCTCTAAATATGTTGCTTTATTTCTGTGTTCTCTATTCTATTTCACTGGGCAATGTGGCTACCCACTAGACTTTAGTGTGTTCTGTATTAAACTCCTTTCTCCTCCCATAAAACTGATACCTCCTTGGTGATAAATCAAGGTGGTTATTTGCACTGGGGAGCCCTCAGTGCTAATCCAGGGAACTGGCAAGGATGTGGAACCCAGTATGATTTATCCCAACTACCTTCCTGCTGCTCCCAGGTATTTCTTTGAGACACTGCTCTCAACAGTGACTGGCGTCAACCCATGTATATATATGTCTACCACCTACTGGTGTGACAGTGACATATGCAGTTGTGGGATGCTACATAACTGGTGACTGAGCTAGTGAGAGACTGTATCAGTCAGGGTAGGTTAGATTATGCTGCTGTAACAAATGCCATCGAAATCTCAGTGGCTTAATACAACAAAAATAAATTTCCCTCTCATGCAAAATTTCCAGTGCTGCTATCACAATGACTCATTGTTCTAGCCTGCTTCATTCCTGTGACATTTCCATGAGCACCATGGCAGAGGAAGGGTGTGGAGAACTGCACACCAAACCTCAAGTGCTTTCATCCAGAAGTAATACAGGTCACTTCTCACATTTCTCTGGTCAAGGAAAGTCACATGGTCACTGCCTAACTTTAAGGGTTATGTTTTGTTTCTAGGAATCACTAAGATTCCTAGAAAGTAGGAATCTTGGTGATCATGAGTAATGCCTGCATAGGGATCCATTTCACATAGGAGGGTTAGGGATAAAGTTAGACTGAAAACCGTAGGGGATAATCATAGCTTACCAGTTCAAGGAAGGTACTTAGTTACATGTAGAGTCTTTGGGAAACATTAATGGTGGTGTTATCATTATACAATATTATGTAGAAAAACACTTAAAGGTGACAAATTCTCTTTCTGTGCCTGTCAGGGTTATCTTACGATTTAGCCAAGGTTAGTTTAGTCTACTCCAGGCAAGAGTGGAGTTTGATTATCCAAACTCTTCTGTGACACAGCATTAAGGAAAGATCATCTGTCTTGATTATACCCTAGGGAACACACTAGCCATGAAGTAAGGTTATATCAACATTAACAAATTTGCTAATTTTGATGACATTGCTGGTCATTTTCTCCTTGAGGAATGGTATGTGTAAAAAGAACAAAATATAGCAGTATCAAATTGTCATGTGTTTTTCCCATGATTATCTGATTATGCATTGCCAAAGAGTTTTCTTGTCATGTTCATGGGAATGTTGGAATATAGCTTTGTGAGTAAAAATCAGTTTATAAACAAAGGGAAAAACAGTAATGTCAATGGTATGAAAAAAATAAAATAATGATTTTCAATAAGTTTTGGGTTTCTTTCTCCAAAGGGCAGAGATCATGTCAATTAAACTTGCTTCCTGCATCTCCCAGCACTTCATGTGCTTAAAAGAGATAAAGGACCGATGAATGCTGTAAACTCCAAAATGTTATGCAGACATGGGATATGATAATGTGTTTCTGGGCACTGAATAGTGTTTTTGATCTCAACAATTATATGTTGTCTTTGCCCACATCCATCAGTGACATCTACTCTCCTTTTAAAACGTTTACTTCTTTATAAGACTGTTACCAATTAAATATTTTCATATAATATGAGCATCTTCCCAAAACTGATATTCTAAGAGTTTCAGTCACACATTTCCACAAGTATCTAGCACACTGAAAAGGAGAGGTAGAGTTTATCAATTAATATTTTAGGCTCTTTACTAAAAATATTTTTACTTTATATGATTAATTTTTGCCTCTGGGTCCTTGCTAAGTTGTAATATTGCTTTAAATATAAATCATAACTTCAAGAAATATGCTACAGTGTACTGCTTATAAATATATCAGCAATACCCTGTGAAACTGAGATGGAAGTGTTCATTACCAAGATCATGATAGTGTTTATTAAAATGAGTAGTAAAGATGGCATGAAATGACAGCTTGCAGGGATCACTGCTCTATGATGACTCTAGCATTTATTCATGGAGTAAGTGTTGCAATAAAAAATAATACCACCTTCGAAGAAACTCTGTAGGCTCTTAGGAGTAAGTATTTGTGAGTTAGCTAAAAAAGTGTCATCATTTTATAAGTGAAGTTCAGAAGAGAGCTTAAATGACACACCCGTATCCTAATTTCTAGCTATGACCACTGGCAAAAACTTCTGCCTCCATAATGTAACACAGAATAAAAAACCAAAATTATCATATGATGTACATTGGTATGCACATCATAAGCTATGTTTAATGTACATCAAAAGGAGAAAAATTGTGACCTTGGCTCATGCAAAGCCATTATGTGATAGAAATGTTTATGATTTTGTCACACTCAAACTCACATGCAAAGAACTAAGTTGGTTACGTATATTTTTATAGGCTGCTTGGAACAGGTGTAGCTGAAGGTAATCAGTTCTATACAGTTTGAAGGCAGTATATTTAATTAATTTATTAATTGTAATTATCTCTTAGAAGGTAAAGCTGTCCTTTCAGTCCCCTTCAGTCTCTGAGGCTGAGATGGAATTTCTAGTTTTCTGTTGCAGCTCTATGGAGTACAATGCCCAAATGGCTTTCTAGGGATCACTGGGGTCACCACCATCTCATCATGGGATCTTCTGGAAGGCAATGCAGATAGTTTTTGTTGAATCAAAAGCTATTCTTGATTAATTAGACCTTACCTTGCCAGTTGCATCTTCTCTGCAGCTCCTTTATATCCTGTCTATGAATCGGTCAGCCAGTGTAAGAGTAGCAAGGAGTGGATTCCTTGACTCTCCTCAGAATTTTTTTTCTCTTGGTCTTCGATTCTTCAACAAATATTTGCTGTTCTTTGGCTTTTTGCATTTAAAATTGCTTCAATCTTTCTAACTTGTAATATTCAGAAAACATTTTTTTTGTAGTGCTATCAGGAAGTCTCTGTGTTAGGCTCCGTGACTACCCAAATGATCTTTGGATCCAAGGGGCTTCCAGCATAGGGAAAGACAGATGTGTCCATAGAGTGGCTCAAGGGGCATTAAAAGGTATGAACAGAGTGCCCAGAACACTGGTCAGGCAGAAATAATATAAAAATGCTCTCATTTGTGTGTGTCTTGAACTCTGGTCAGGCAGAAAGAACATCAAAGTGTGTGTCTTGATGGATGAAGAAGAGTGTACTAGGTGAAGATCATTTCGGATAAGACAGTGTGTGGATAAGAGTATTCTAAACAGAAAATGTGAAAGATAAAGTGCGGAGTGTTCCCTGCAGACTCTGGCAGAGCAACAGATGAATGGAGTATGCAGACACAGATATTTTACTTGTGTGTAGCTAGGGGACCTCACACCTTAGCACAGCCAACAATAAAGTACGGCCCCAAGAAGCCTGAGATGCTCACATTTATTTAGTACAGATTTAATGACAAAGGCCTGGAGCAAACACTAGTTGTGGGTAATGAACATTGTCACTATCCCAGAAGTGGGGAGTCCTGTGCCTGGATGAGCAAAGGTTGGTTTCCAGAGAAACAGGTAAACAAACTTACCTAGATAAATTCCTTTGCATTCCCTTGTTACGTACCCTTTGCCTGTTGCCTCAGGTTAAAAACAGCCACCTTCAGCTCATTCTTCCTGGAAGCTTTGCAAAACCTCCCGGCCTTCCAAGAAGATTCATGTCTTTCCTGTAATTTTTCCCACCACTCTGACCTATCTCCTACATCTCCCCCTTTTCTGTTTTTTGCATCAGGTTTTGTTGATTGCAGAGTACAGATGTGTGCAGCAACAAGTTTGTCAGGCACAGCAGTTATAAGTCGTGTCCTGGCTTTGCATCCTAGAATTAGTAAATACTGTAAGACAAACATGAGAGTAATCGGTAACATTCTTTTCCAATCAAGGAGTGACATATAGTGTTTCTTGGCACCTCAGTCCAATGTGTGCTATTAATGAAGGATTCCACTGGGGGTAAGTCAATCCCTCCTAGCCAAGCAGTTGCATTGTTAGAGACTGGGAAGGAAATGTCTGCCTAAGCAACAGGCAGAAAAAAGACAGATTTAGAAGATGTGCTCAATAGAGTGTAGCAGGTACATGTTGCAGGCAGAGTAAAAGAATATAAAAGGAACAAATTATCTGGAGTGAATGGTGTTTGTGTTTGGAGCAGGGTTTGCTCAGCCTTCTGAGTTGTCTTCAGCATCATGTTCCAGGCCTGCGTTGTCTGAGGAAGCCGCGTTATCTGGGGCTACGAGTCCTGCAGGGTCATTTCCTTCATTTCTGGTACTGGGTTGGTTCCTAGCCATCCCATGGTATAGTTTGATGCATCATGTGGGAATCCAAAGAGGGCCTGAGAGGGTGTGAACACAAGTATATGCTCTTCCTTACATTAGCAAATCCTTTGGACCACACCATACTTTATTATTTACATCTTTCCATAAAACTGTGTGTTTTATGTCCTGAGGGTTTTTTACAAAATGTTTTTCTATGGTTGATTGAAATTCGTCGTCTAAATTTAACAAAGTAAGGGTAAAAAAAGCTTGTGCTAGAAGGATCCTTACTCATAGTCTCCCTTTTTTGTTTTTTGAGAAAAGTGTTAAAGCATTAGGTATGGGGGAGTGAACTACCTGTGTAGGCAAAACTACCAGAGTCGTAGATAAGAACTGAAGCAGTTTGTCAGCAGGAAGGGCATGCTCCCTATGGCCTGCATAATCAGAGAGTGCTATCTGAAGATCTAGAGATGGGGCAAGACTACTTCAAATTGCTTTTTACTCAAAGGAATTCTTATGACATAAGGGTCATAACCTAGCAACTGATTGCATCGTCTGTGGCCCATATAGATGACTTTGATAACTAGCTGGATATAGGGAGATAGTGTTTTAGTCCCAGTATTTGAGCAAAAACCCATTCTAGGAAGTGCAGCCCTGGAGCCATCTGTCCTATTAATTCTGTTGAGGAATGTTTCGTAGGAAAAATAAACAATTGGACTGAATATTTTGGGTCTATGCAATCTAGTTGCCTCTGAGAAATAGCCTGCTCTATTTCCTCAATTTCCTTTTTGGCTGTGGCGGTAAAATACCTGGGAGAACCTAGGGCTGTATTGCCTTTTAAGATAGAAAGCAGGTTCTGCAATTTATCAGTAGTTATGCCTAAGGTGGGATAAAGCCAGTTCATATCGCCTAGTAATTTTTGATAATCATTTGAGGTATGTAAGTTGCTAGTATTTAATTTAACCTTTTAAGGTCTTAATGACTGGGAAGTTAGTTTGTATCCAAGATATTTCCAAGGGGAAGACATTTGTACTTTTTCAGGTGCTGTGATTAAACCTCTTAAATGTGTATTCCTTTGGACAGAGGCATGTAAACTTAAAAGTGCTGGCTCCACTGGGGCTGCTAGTAATACATCATCCATAAAATGAAATATCTTGCTATTAGGATATTCTTTTCCACTGGGTAGCAAAGCCTGATTTACATGATACTGACACAGGGGAGGACCGTTCAGCATTCCTTGAGGAAGTACTTTCCGATGAAGTTGGTGAGCTGGCCTTTCATTATTGATAGCTAGTATTGTAAATGTAAATTTTCTCTGTGCTGGCCTGCAAGGGGAATAGTATAAAAACAGTCTTTTAAGCCAATAACGACTATAGGCTAATTTTGAGGAATTGCCATGGGGGAATCCCCTGTTGGAAAGGCCTCATAGGTTACAGATTAGCATTAACAGGCCGTAAGTCATGTAAGAGTCTCCATTTGCCTGAGTTTTTTGGGAATGACAAACATGGGCAAATTCCAAGGGCTGTTAGATGGTTCTATATGGCCAGCTTTCAATTGCTCCTCAACTAGTTCATGGGCATGTTGTAATTTCTCTCCCTTTAAAGGCTACTGTTCTATCCAAATAGGATCCATGTTAGGGTAGGGGAGGAATAACAGTGGCCATTACTAGAAAGAGGTCTTATGTTCACGTAATTCATCCAATTCTGCCCTCCAGAGGAGGTATTGACTGGCGTCTAAAGTTGTTTTAGCTAGCACTGAACAGTCCCATGGGGTCAAATGGAAGTTGTTTGCTATGGCTTCAATTAATCCTTTCGTAAATGGGCTAGGGTTTCCATTTTTCCTAATGATTTTTCTCATCTCTTTATAAGCATCAGAAGAAATGGGTTCATATACCTGATTGCTTTGTCAATCTTGCATTATCAGGCAGGCCAAGAGCTCCCCTTCTAATGCCACTTGCCTAAGACAGGGTCCCACAGCTGTAGTGTCTCCCTTGTCTTTTTCCAATTTATTGGGGCAGGGGACTCAGGGAAAACCTCCATTTCCTCTGTGACACTTTTACCTGGTAATTGCAGGGCTGAGGGAGAAGGAAGAGGTGGTAAGGTAGGTGGTGGTTTCTCCTCCCTTCCCTTTTTAGGCTCTTCTGTGTAGAGCAGGGCCAAAGCAGCCCGGATTAAGGCCCTATAACGTTAAAGATGTTACTGGGACCCATTGCCCTTGTGCATGATGCTGTTTAAGATTTCTCGCCACTTGTTCTCAGATCTCTACATCTAGCATGCCTTCTTCTGGAAACCACGGGTTTGCATTTAGTTTTCTTAATTGAGCCTGAGAAACAGAGGCTCCACTAGCTTCAAACAGGTGTCTCAATACTATTATATCCTGGGATGTGGAAAGAAAGTATTAAAACTTGGCTATCTATCAAAAAATGTGAAAAAGGACTTAAATTTTAGGCTTTACTAATAGGTGACATGGATTGACATTGGTGCTCTTACTTTGTCTGTATGTCAGACAGAGGGACTACTAGGTGCAAGAAATTCTGAGGGAAGGTTGGGATCCACAGCACCGAGGGGTGTTCTTAATGTCCTTGCTCATTCTTACAGCAAATTACAATTTTCAGGAATTTATGTGTGCTTGGTTAAATGGATTTAAGTATTATATTATCTGGGTTGACTAACCTAAGCCTCACAAAATGGACAAATGACTTAAAAGATTGAAATAACATGAACATTTCAAGTGTTAATAAATGTTAACAAAAGTCCTTGCAAAACTGGTGGATGGTCTTTGAAAAATGAGTATCACAATTTCATAAGTTCATCCATTGAATGCTTCTTCTGTTTGTATATATGTTTCTATTCGAGGTGTATTATACAGCTCTGATAGTCATAAAACTAAATGTAAGTAAACTGCACTCACATTTGTAAGTTGCCTTATCACAATAAAAATTTTCAAAAAATATGAAGCATATTCAACTACATTACTCTCACTAAAGAATATTTTAGTAATGGCAAAAGATTTTATTTTTCATCAATTAATGGAATAAATTAATTAGCTAGGTATGGTGGTATGTACCTGTATTCCTAGCTTTTAGGGAGGCTGAGACAGGAAGATTGCTTGAACCCAGGAGTTAGAAGCTATACTGAGCTATGATCATGCCACTGCACTCCAGCCTGGAAAACAGATCACGACTTTATTTCTTAAAAAAAAAAAAAAAAGAACAATAAATAAATGGCATATAAAATAGGGGTTATTTCATCTTCATCTCATTCTTTAATTTTTCAATTGTGTTGTTTTCTTATGTGTATGATATATTAATGCAGTACTTGTATCATGTATCTGTGCTATTTACAAATGGATATGTGTATTTGAGATAAATATTTTACTTATAAGAGTTTATGGGCAGAAAGAAAACCAAAAATGGTATTAAAGAAATGGTGTCTATGATCTGGTTTGTTTTTAGGAAGATGACTTCAGC